GCTCTTGGCCTGCTGTGTCCCAAAAGTCTGCAATGTGAACACAGCTCTGACTGCCTGATGGCGGATGAAGGGCAGAGAGCCCCAGACACTGAGCATCTCTGTGCGGTGTCTGTGTTCAGAAACACAGGCACCCGTGGGAGGAAGGGGAGCAACGGAGACCACACAGCTCGCGGGTGTGTTGTCAGGATGTAACGCACCTGGGCGTGCGTGGGGGCGGGTGAGAGGGAGACCCAGGGCCAGGAGGAAGGAGAGTACAGACAGGGAGCCCCAAGAGGGAGAGGGTCAGTGACCTCCTTCCCCCACCTATAAGATGTAGGACGCTCCAAGGTCACAACTAGGCCCAATTCCCATGTGTGCTGATCACAGAGGGTGGACACAGTCAGGCTGGACGTGCGGCCTGGCCAAGGGGAAGGTTGTGACCACATTTAAAGCCAAACCCTTTGTGGCAGATGACACTCAGACCAGCCCTGTTATTTCTTTACACTGGCTGAAGAGCACTGGAGCAGAACCCTGCGTGCTCCCTCCCACGCTCCCTGGCTTCCGGGCTCTCTGGGCTGTGCCTATCACCCTTCCTCCATGCCTGGGGGCTCATTTCCCCTGCTTGACCCTCTCCCCCACTACCTCCCCCTCCTGAGAGGGGGTGCGGCTCGGCACTGCGCTGCTCACCCACAAGGACGGTCTTGCCGTCCACCGTGGCCGTGTGCTTGTACAGGGTCAGGGCGTGTGTGGACAGCTGCCGGGGCTGACTGCACTTAGGTTAAGGGGCAAAGATGAATGAAAAGAGACGTAAGCAAGGTGCTGGGGGGCGGCTGCTGGGGGGATGGAATGGGCTCTCTCTCTCCTTCTTTAAGAAGTTATTTAGATTTTAAATTGAATGAGTGTTGCAGACAGAGGATCAACTTCAAATATCACAGGCACAAGCTCCATGGAAAGGTGAGGGGTGGGAGAGGTTGGGATTATGTCCTGGCCATCTAAGTCCAAGGGAAAACATGGAATGGAATTTTACAGAGCAGCTGTCTGAAACAGCATCACGTAGTTGGCCAATGAGACTGTGGGGATGCCCCAGCTCCCCATGGATGGGGCTCTTGCAGGCCAGAGAGGAAACCCAGCCATAAGAAGTAACATGACAGTTCCAGGGAAAAAAAGTCTTCATAAGCCAGACAGCTGACAAACTGTTTATGAACTGTAGTTTGCTTTTTGCAACCCTATCAAAAAGCTTGGGGAATAACATTTCCTGAAGCTGCAAGATGCTGTGTGCTTTCACCATCGGAGCTGGGATGATGCAGGTGGGTGGGTGCAAAGGAGAACTTGGTAGAAGGCGAAGTAAGATACACTTAGAGTCTCCCACGGGGGGCTGGGGCCCCGGGCAGGGAGCAGGGGGCTCTGGGGCTCTTCTCACCCCCAGTTCTCAACGGACTCACTCGGGAAGCTTTTAAAAACCATCCCAATTGTCTCATTCCAAAGCTGCACAATGCAACGATTCACGGAAGGAGGGTGGGGCTGGCGGTTCCTATTTTATAAAGTTGATTCATACCAGAGAATGTTTAAACATTAGAGAGCCCAAGCTCTGAGGTCAGAGATGTTAAGTGACTTGCCCAGCACCAGAGCTACTAAGAAGGAAGAGGTGGGGTTTGAGTCCAGGCATTTGACGAGGTACTTACTGTTAGCCATTCCACTGCTTTCCTAATATAAAGCAAATCCAAATGTGAGTAAGCTTCAAAATATGCAGCACCAACTACATGTGATGCCATGTGGGTCAGCTGGTGAGAAACCAGCATGAAATGAAACCTGTGAATTTACTCACTTATCCCTCCTCCCTGGACCGCTGGAGCAAAGGGGTGGGCAGTGGGGCTGAGTTGGCCTGAGGGTGGAAAGGGCCACAGGAACAAGGAGCATTTCAAAACTTGAAGGATACAATCCATCCATGAGAAATCTCTCCATAAGTCTGTAAGGAGAATGTGCAAGGTGGTCAGGTGCATCCCTCAGTGCGCCTGCTTGCCCCTGTTGCACCACCCAAGGGTTGAAAACTTGGAAGCCAGCTGTGGCTTCTCCCCTCCCACTCCTTCCACAGCTACACAGTTTCCTTTCAAGGACAATGCCCAGGAACCACCCACCCACCCTCTTTCTGACTCCCCTTAAGTTCCTGACACCCTTCGGCTATAACACTGACCCAGCACCCACAGATGCTTTCCCTGTGGGCAGGGACCCCAGCTTACTCCTTTTAGGGAATAAATAAACTGTGGTACATCTATAATATGGACTACTACTCAGCAATAGCAAGGAAAAAATTACTGATATACCCAATAATTTGAACAAATCTTAAGGGTATTATGCTGAGTGAGAAAGGTCACATGTTGTATAATTCCTTTTATACAATGTTGCCAAGATGACACAGTTATAGAGATGGAGTATATTAGTGGCTACAGGGGTTAATAGGGGTGGTAGGAGGTGAAGTGGGGTGGGTGTGACTATAAATGGACAGTAGGACCAAGGCCTCTGCAGCGATGGAACAGTTTTGTATCTTGAGTCCAGTGATGCTTACACAAATCTACACGTGTGAGAAAATGACACAGAATTACACATATGCATTGAACTAATGCCAGTTTCCTGAATTGGATCTTGTACTACAGTTATGTAAGATATAACCACTGGGGAAATTGGGTGAAGGGTACACAGGCCCTCTCTGTATTCTCTTTGCAACATCCTGTAAATCTGTTATTTCAAAATGAAAAGTTAAGAACAAAACAAAACAAAACAAAACACAGACTGGGAGAAGCTACGTGCAATGCCAATCACTGACAAAGAGTTAATACAAAGCGATTATGAACAGCTCTGATACGTGAATAAGAGGACACACACAACCTGGGTCCTGAGAATATGAACAGGCAATTCGGAAGAATGGCTGAAACACACATGAAACGATGCTCAATCGTGAATGATTTTCATGCAAATTAACATAAAGTGAAGTTGCACACACGTCCTTCAGATTTTAGCAAAAAGCTGAAAACGTCACATGACGCCGAACGCTGCACATTTTGTGGAAACTCGCGCTGTGCCGGCAGGAGTGTGAACTGAATACACTACTGCTTTGGAGAGCAACTGGGATAAGTCAAAGTGTGAGCTAAGCCTAAAACTGGGCAATTTCACCCCAAGTCTAATAGACTGTGTGCCCAAGGCGATAGGCATAAAGATATTCACTGCAGTATTGTGTCTAATACCATAAAAACTGTAATTTCATAACTGTTCTTCAACAGAAGAATGGACAAATATATTTTAGTACAAAAAATTTAAAAAAAAATTACTGAGTGCTTGCCATTTGCCAGATACTATGCTAGGTGCCATGATATAACATTTAACAAAACAGAGGAAAATTCCTGTCTTCATGGAGCTTACAGTCTAGTGGGTGAAGACAGACAGTAAACACACACTTAAAATATATATAGCCACGTGTATGGTCACTGGATTGAGAACAAAAGCATTACTGCAATTCAATGGGGTAAAGGATTGTTTTATCAAGGAATGGTGTGGAAACAACTGGATATCTATGTAGGAAAAAAATGAACCTTGAGGACATTACTTAAAATGGTGGAGTATGAAGTTCTATGGGTCACACCCTCAACTGAAACAACCAATAACTGGAAAAAATGATCAGAATCAACTATTTCAGAACTCTGGAACCTGACTGGACACAATGACCAGTAGAGTGCTGGATAAAAGGAGAGTGCTGGTCTTGTGCAAAAGAACAGCACGCACAAACCAGCAATGGTCACCCACTCCTCAGGCCCACTGCAGCTAGGCGGTGACCCGTGTTCCAAATGTCTGGCTCCAGTAGAGATACTTTCCTCAAAAAGTTTGGCCGAGGAGCCAGGTCCCAGCTCTCTCAGGCTTCAGAGTCTTCCCCTGCTGGCATCTATTGGAAATTTAAAGGGATAGGAATACCTCTTTGTTTCTTTCCCCTTTTGGAGCCAAATATTTAAGGAAATCTTTATCAGGTCACTGTCTGATCACAGATAATGGAATAGAAATATCAGTGACCACACACAAGAAGGAATATACACTTTGCAAAAATAGTATGGAAAAGTTACAAGTGGATATACTCCAGCTCGAAACAAGCAGAAATCAGCCATACCCGAGGAGTGGGAATATCTGAGATCCAAAGTCACCACATCAAAATACTCAGAATGTCTAATTATCAACCAGAAAATTACAAAGCATACAAAGAAACAGGAAGGTATAGCCTATTCTCATGATAAAAAGAATTTAACAGAAACAATACCTGAAGAAATCCAGACCCTGGAATTACTAGTCAAAGAAGTTAAATCAATTATCTTAAATATGCTCAAAAAACTAAAGAAAACCATGGACAAAGAACTAAAGGAAATTAGAAAGCAACATATGAACAGAATGAGAGTATTAATAAAGAGATAGAAATTATGAAAAGAAACCAAACGGATATTCTGGAGCTGAAAAGTACAATAATTTAAATGAAAAACTCCCTAGACAGTTTCAACAGCATACTTGAGAAGGCAGAAGAAAGGATCAGCAAACTTGAAGATAAGGCAACTGGAATTATCCAGTCTGAGAAGCAGAAAGAAAAACGAGTAAAAATGACCAGTGCCTAAGGAGCCTATCAGACAACATAAATCATCCTAACACATGCATCATATATAGAAGAGGGGTGGGGGCAGAGAGACTATTTGAAGAAATAATGGCTAAAAACTTCCCAAACCTGATGCAAGACATGAATGTATACACTCAGGGAGCTCAACAAACTCCAAACAGGATAAACTCACAGAGATCCACATTATAGGATCCACAAATTGTCAAAACTCAAAGACAAAATCCTCAATAAGATAAACAGCCAACTTCTCATCAGACACCACTGACTCAGAAGGCTGTGGAATGAAATATTTAAAGTCCTGAAAAAAAAATTGTCAAAAAAGAATTCTATGTTCAGCAAACTATCCTTCAAGAATGAAGGAGAAATTAAGACATTCCCAGATAAACATAAGCTGATGTGGCTTATTACCAGTAGATCTGTCCTATAAGAAATGATACAATAAGTCCTTTAGGTTGAAATGAAAGGACACTAGACAGTAACTTGAAGCCATATGAAGAAATAAAGATCTTCAGTAAAGGTAGCTACACAGGTAAATATAATAACCAGTATTCTTGGGCTTCCCTGGTGGCGCAGTGGTTAAGAATCCACCTGCCAGTGCAGGGGACATGGGTTCGAACCTTGGTCCAGGAAGATCCCACATGCTGCAGAGCAAGTAAGCCTGTGTGCCACAACTACTGAGCCTGCGCTCTAAGAACCCACGAGCCACAACTACTGGGCCTGTGTATCACAATTACTGAGGCCCACGCACCTAGAGCCCGTGCTCTGCAACAAGAGAAGCCGCTGTGATGAGAAGCCCGTGCACCACAACGAAGAGGAGCCCCCATTCATAGAAACTAGAAGAAAGCCTGTGCACAGGAACAAAGACCCAACGCAGCCAAAAAAAAAAAAAAAAACCGGGCTTCCCTGGTGGCGCAGTGGTTGAGAGTCCGCCTGCCGATGCAGGGGACGCGGGTTTGTGCCCCGGTCTGGGAAGATCCCATGTGCCGCGGAGCGGCTGGGCCCGTGAGCCACGGCCGCTGAGCCTGCGTGTCTGGAGCCTGTGCTCCGCAACGGGAGGGGCCACAACAGTGAGAGGCCTGGGTACTGCAAAAAAAAACCAAAAAAACAAAACAAAACAAAAAAACCAAAAACCAGTATTCTCATATTTTTGGTTTGTAACTCCTCTTTTTTCCCATGATTTAAAAGACAAATATGTAAAACTATAATTGTAAATCTATATTAATGATCACAATGTATAAAGTTGTAATTTGTGACAAAACAATATCAAGGGGAGGGATAGAAATATATAGGAGCAGAGTGTTGGTATACTATTATAACTAAATTGGTATTCAAATAGGTTGTTATAAATTTTAGATATTAATTATAATCTTCAAGGCAACCATTAATAAACAACTAAAAAAATTATACAAGACAGGAAGGGACTCAAAATAGTACAGTACAAAAAATTAAAAAAAAAAAAAGAAAAAGAGTAATGGAGTACTTGAGGAAACAAAACTGGAGACATAAAACAAATAGCTAAATGGCAGAAGTAAATCCTTCTTTATCAGTAATAGCTTTAATTATTGTTGTTGCAAATGAGAATAGATAAAACTCTCCAATTAAAAGTGAGAGATTGGCAGAGTATATTAAAAATACATGATCCAGGTATGTCCTAACTGTAAGACACTTGCTTTGGATACAAGGTCACAAAGAAGTTGGAAAACAAAAGGGTGATAAAGATATTGCAATGCAAACAGCACTCAAAAGAGAAATGGGTGACTACACTACAGTCAGACAAAATAAACTTAAGTGACAAATGTTACAAGAGACAAAGAAGGACATTATATACTGATAAAAAGTTCAATCTATCAAAAAGATATAAAAGTTATAAACATATATGCACCGCACAACAGAGTCCCAAAATATATGAAGCTAACACTGACACAACTAAAGGGAGAAATAGAGAGTTGCACAATAATATATTGAGATTTCAATACCCCACTTTCAATAATGAGTAGAACAATGAAACAGAGGACTTGAACCACACTAACTAGGTCTAACCACCAATTAGCCCTAACAGACATACACAGAATACTCCACCCAACAACAGTAGTATACGTATTCTTCTCAAGTGAACATGAGTTAGGCCACAAAAAAAGTCATAATAAAATTTAAAAGACTTAGATCATACAAAGTATCTTTTCAAATAAAATGGAATGAAACTAGAAATTAATAACGGAAGAAAAACAAGAAAATTCACAAAAAGGTGGAAATTAAATCAAATAGGGAAGATTTAGTCAAATTAAATCAATAACATAACTGTACATCTTTAGGTAGTAGACATGAAAGAGTAAACTAAACTCAAAGCTAGCAGAAGGAAGGAAATAATAAAGATTAGGGTGGAGATAAACAAAATACAGAATAGAAAGACAACAGACAAAAATCATTGTAACCAGAAATTAGTTCTTTGAAAAGATCAACAAAATCAACAAACCTTAGCTAGACTAAGAAAAGAGAGAGGACACAAATGATCAAAATCAGAACTGAAAATGGGGACAGTAACATCAATTTTACAGAAACAAAAAGAATTACAAGAGAATACGATGAACGAACAAGCTGGATAACCGAGACGAAGTGCACAAATTCCTAGAAACACACAAACTACCAAACAGATTCAAGACGAAATAGAAAATCTGAGTAGACCTATACCAAGTAAGGAGATTATATCAGTATTCAAAAACCTCCCATAAGGAGAAGTCCGGGACTGGATGGCTTCACTGGTGAATTCTACCAACCATTTCATGAACAAACACCAATCCTTCTCAAACTCTTCCCAAAAATTGAGGAGGAGGGAACACTTCATAATTCTTTCTATGAGGCCAGTGGTACCCTGATTCCAAAGCCAGACAATGACACTACTAGAAAAGAAACCTACAGGCCAATATTCCTCATGAATTTAGTTGTAAAAATCCTCAAAAAAATCCACTGGCAAACCAAATCATATTAAAAGGATTATACATCATCAAAAGGACCAAGGGAGATTTATTCTCAGAGTAAAAGGATGGTTGAACTTAAAAAAATTATCAAACATATCATATTAGTAGAACAAAGGAAAAATCCTACATATTCATCTCAATAAATGCATAAAAAGCATGACAAAAACCAACACCATCTCATGACAAAAACTAGGAATAGAAGGTAATTACCTCTAGGATAAAGGCCATTTATGAAAACCCCACAGTTAATACTCAATTGCAAAAGACTGAAAGCTTTCCCTTATAATAAGAAACAAGAGGATGCCTACTTTTGCCACTTCTATTCAACATAGTACTGGCAGTTCTAGCCAGAGCACTGTGATGAGAGAACAGTTATTCTGAGGTGCTTCCTAGACATTTTACAGTATGACAATCCTGCTCACACCTAAAGTCTGGACATTTAGATGAGGACCTGAGTTTAGGATTCCCGCCACAAGTTCCTGCTTTGCTTTTCCCTTTTAAAATAAACAGACTTGAGGCTGAGAAAAGTTAGTGACCTCTGCCCCAATCAGCAAAGCCCCTAGGGAATCACTGACAGCTACCTGGGTCTAAGGATATGTTAATAACAAATAAAAGTGGAAACCAAGGTGGAACTGGGGCACCTGGGGTATAAGACTAAACTAGGCATCTGGTTAGGGGCAAGTTTACCCTCATCCTGTGAAGGCAGAAATGGATGTGTGCCTCACTGGTCCAAGACAGCTGAGAAACAGGCTCACACCCTGTGGAGACAAGCTGCCAGCACTGCAGAGCCTCCCTTCAGGGGGAGTTCCACGCCTGTGCACAGAGGCACTGAAGTCAGTTAAAAGAGTGAGTCAGTCTTTACACTGGGACTTCCCTGGTGGCGCAGTGGATGGGAATCTGTCTCCCAATGCAGGGGACACGGGTTCCGTCCCTGGTCCAGGAAGATCCCACATGCCGCAGAGCAACTAAGCCCGTGCGCCACAACTACTGAGCCTGTGCTCTACAGCCCACGTGCCACAACTACTGAGCCCGTGTGCCACAACTACTGAAGCCCGCGCGCCTAAAGCCCATGCTCTGCAACAAGATAAGCCACCGCAGTGAGAAGCCCACTCACCTCAACAGAGTAGCCCCCGCTCACTGCAACTAGAGAAAGCCCGCTCGCAGCAACCAAGAGCCAACACAGCCCAAAATAAATAAAAATTAAATCTTCTAAGAAAAAAAAAATCTTTACGCTGATTATAGTCAGGCATCATTTCTATCCACTCTTCTCAACTCTGAGTTCTTTCAAGACAGTATCTTCACCACCTTTCTTTGACCTGTCGCTGGTTGTGCCAGTCACACTTCTCACACTTTCCTCTCCCCGTTCCCACTGTCTGCATCTTGCAGTCTCTCAGCCCCATACCACACACAGGAATACCCCAGCTCTCACCTCACCAGGACTGCTTCAGTAGTCTCTAGGTGACCCGTCCCATACTTTCTGCCAGGACTCATGGATAAAGCTCAACTTCCTCAGTCCTGTGACTTGTCCCTGGGGACGCCCTCCTCCCCAAACACACACAGCTGCTGATGTGACGCTCCCTTGTTCCCCCATGCAGACCCGGGCTCCAGCCAAGACTACTCTCTCACCACTCCCATAGAAGCCATGCTCCTCCATGCCTCTGGAGGATTTTTCTAATAACCCAGACCCACTCTGGGCCTGGCATTTCTTCCCTAATCTCCCAACATACTTGGACTTGCCCACAGCGCTGTCCCCCAGGCAGATGATTTTCACATTGTCATCAGCATCGTATTTCTCTTGGTCCAGCTCACAGGGTTTGGCTCTGTCCCCGGCCATTGGCTCCTGGCTGTAGAAAGGGGATCAGCTCAGGGGAGGGGGGGTCTTGTCACCATCTGGGAAGATCAAGAAGAGGCTGTTGTTAAAGAGATGAGAAGTCCCCTCCACCAAATCCACTTCCTCTTCCTGGACAGGGGAGACAATGAGCTGACAAGAGAGGGGCCCAAGGAAACACTTATATCCTTCTCTATGCACCACCAACCTGGCTAGCACTTGCTGAATCATGGGGCTGTAATCTTGCCCCCACCCAGATCTTCTGAGAGTGGTTTACGCTATGTCATCTCTTTCCTTCAGCTATGCTCAAAACCACAACTCCCACTCCCACCTGGAGAAACTACTCTAAAGCCATGTTGAAGCTTTACAAGTTTTACCTACAAGAGTTTTCTCACTTGTAAAGCAGGGACAAACATCAGTGCCCACATCACATGATTGAGTTGAGATACTGTCTGACAAAGAGGGCTCTGTAAGCCTGAATTCTCAGCACTGAATGACAGATCACATGGCCAAAGAACCCTAACCTGCATTCCCTATCCTCTACCTCACGCTTCTCACGTCCACTTCATTTTCCATCATACTGCCATCAGTAGCTGCCTTTTCCTCTCTCAAACTAGGCATTCCCCAGACCCTCTTCTCTAGGGTTATTGCAACCTCTACTAGTTTCAGGTATCTCCTAAATGCTGATGATGCCAAATCTGTATCTCCACAGAGATCACTTCCCTCAGTGCCAGACTCAGGTATGCAATTGCCTACCAGATTTTGAATAGCGAACTATTCCACACAGGCAAAAATAACCTGTGAAACCTAAGCCCTGCCCACCCCAAAGTCGCTCCTCACGTTCCCTGTCTGTACATCACCAGCCACCCAATGCCAACATCGAGGCGTAACAATCTCTAGCTCTATTCCACTATTCTCATGTCCTTAAGCCCAAATATAACTTCACAAACATTACTGGGAATGTGCCGTATACACACTCTGAGTTAACTCGGCACACAGAAATGATGCACCGACAACGCAGCATCAGTGCTCGCACTTACTGAGGGTTCATCACGGGTACATCTTGGACCCGGATAGGAGACACGATGGCAAAGTCTACTGCGGCAAGAGCTATGACAGACGTGCACACAAGGGTGGAAAATACCGACAGGACCCCTGAGTTTCCCTAACTGCAATGCTACTGTTTCTGCTCAGGTAGGGACTCAGCCTTCTTTACCGAGGTACCCTCAGCCTCAAAAGCAGTGACTGGGAAGTGGCAGATGCCTGATAAGCATAATGAGGGGCTGTCCTTTCTACCTCCACCCTGTAGCTGGAGCGACCTGTTCGGAAGCCAAACGCAGCCAAACCCGTTCTCAAAGACCTTCAATGGGTGTCGATGTCCTCGCCACCCAGCGGATAAGTTCTCTTTCACTCAAGTAGTTTTCGGGCACCAAACAGGTCTGAGAACCACTTTACCCCCGCAGCCAGGCTGGGCTGCCTTCCCCCCCGCCCCACCGTTGCCAGAACCCACTGTCCCGTTCTTCCCCCCACTGGCCAAGGGCCGGAGGACGGCCTTGGAGGGGCGGTTCCCACATGCGAGGCCACCACCCGCGCGGCTTCGTCTTCTCGGCCGTTCCCGGGCGAGGGCTGGAGACCAGGAGCGCCGCAGGTCGGTCCGCCCACGGCCAGCCGCCCTCAGGACCCCGAGTGCCCCTCGGATCCCGCCCCGTCCCGGACCCTGCCCTGTCTCGGACCCCGCGAGTCAGCCCGGGTCCCACCGCGGATCACTCAGCTTCCAGCGCTGCCCGCGTCCTCGCAGATGCTACGCAACCGCGCAAGGACCCTAGGAGGGCTGCCTGGCCAAAGGCCTGAAGGACCTCGCCGGGGGCTGGCTGGCTAGTCCAGTGCCGGGCGAGAGTACTTCCGGTCAATGAGTACCCGGACCAGGCCGGCCTGGGGCTTCCAGTAGCCGGAGTCTGGGGTGGGCTTTGGCCCCGGGACTGAGCCAGGGTTCAAGCGGCTGTAGGCCTTGGGGAGTGACTGGGCAGCCGCGGGGGGAACGACTGGGGAAGCGTTCCTGAGGCGTGGGGGCGGGGCCTGTGGCGTGTGGGGCGGGGTGCAGGCACGGGGGCAGGGTGCTCAGGTGCGGTGGGTGGACCATAGGTGTGGGGCCGGAGTCTTGTGTGGGAGTTGGTGCCCGAGTGCGGGGGCTTCTTTGGGGGTGATGGAAGGGGCGCAGAGCAGCGCTGGGGAAAGTGGAGGGGTGGGGCCTCATGTGTGGGAGGCAGAAGGCTAGGTGATTTCTAAAGTTTGTAATTCTCTCTTGGGGCGATTCTGAGCATATTTTTCTTTCTTTTTTTAAAAAAAGTTTATTTATTTTTGGTCTTTGTTGCTGCGCGCGGGCTTTCTCTAGTTGCAGCGAGAGGGGGCTACTCTTCGTTGCGGTGCGCGGGCTTCTCATTGCAGTGGCGTCTCGTTGCGGAGCACGGGCTCTAGGCACACGGGCTTGAGTAGTTGTGGCACGAGGGCTCAGTAGCTGTGGCTCGCGGGTTCTAGAGCGCAGGCTCAGTAGTTGTGGCGCACGGGCTTAGTTGCTCTGCGGCATGTGGGATCTTCCCGGACTAGGGATGGAAACTGTGTCCCCTGCATTGGCAGGCGGACTCTTAACCACTGCGCTACCAGGGAAGCCCCATGAGCATATTTTTCTACTCCATTGTTGTTAACCGAGAATTGGGACAGCCACGACTGAGCCAGGTTTATCAGGGAACCTAGTTCTCCTTCCACACAGCTCGGCAGTGAGATGCTGTCTCAGGGGCATTCATTGATTTATTCAAGTACCTGCTGAGGGCAGCTGTGGGCTAAGACAGGCTCCTCCTGGGGACTGAGGGTACAGCGGAGAGCAACAGAGCTGCTATCTTGGAGCTGACCTTCCAGTGGGGCAGACGTGTAAATCAACTAGCTGTTGTAATAAAATTACAGACAAATCCTCTGAAGAAAGTGCGCAGGGAGCCGGGAGAAAGCAACAGGGGAAGTGAGCTGGGCTTCAGCGGGTAATAAGGTGCTAACCTAGGGAAAGGCCCCACTCAAAGGCTGTCTGGCAAAAGAGCCTTTTGGAACGGAATTAGAGTAATTGTATGATTTGTATTCTTTTAAATTTGTTAAGTTGTGTTTCATGGCCCAGAATGTGGTCTATTTTGGTATTTGTTCCATGTGAGCTTGAGAAGAATGTGTATTCTGCTGTTGTTGGATGGAGTAGTGTATAGATGTCCATTATACCCAGTTGATTGAAGGTGCTGTTGAGTTCAGCTACATCCTCACTGATTTTCTGCCTGCTGGCTCTGTCCATTTCTGAGAGAGGGGTGTTGAAGTCTCAAAATAATACTGGAATCATCTGTTTCTCATTGCTGTTCTTCTTTTTGCCTCAAGTAGTTTGACACCCTGTTGTTTGGTACATACATTAAGGATTGCATGTCTTCTTGAAATATTGACCCCTTTATCATTATGTAATACCTCTCTTTATCTCTGATAACTTTTCTTGGTCTGAAGTCCTCTCTATCTGAAATTAAGATAGCTACTCCTGATTTCTTTTAATTGGTGTTAGTATGATATATCTTTCTCCATGCATTTACTTTAGACAGCAGATAGCTGGGTCTTGTTGTTTGATTCACTCCAACAATTTGTCTTCTAATTGGTATATTTAGACAATTGATATTCAAAGTGATTATTGATATTGTTTGATTAATATCTACCTATTTGTTGCCCTTGTTCTTTTTTTCCTATTTTGTCTTTCCTACTTTTTTTTTTTTGCCTTTTGGGGTTTTAATTGAGCATTTTAATTTTATATGATTCCATTTTCTCCCCTCTCCTGTCATATCAATCATGCTTATTTTGTTTTTACATTTTTTTTTTTTTTTTGCGGTACGTGGGCCTCTCACTGTTGTGGCCTCTCCTGTTGCGGAGCACAGGCTCCGGACGCGCAGGCTCAGCAGCCATGGCTCATGGGCCCAGCCGCTCCACGGCATGTGGGATCCTCACGGGCCCAGCTGCTCCACGGCATGTGGGATCCTCCCGGACCGGGGCACGAACCCGTGTCCCCTGCATCGGCAGGCGGACTCTCAACCACTGTGCCACCAGGGAAGCCCCTGTTTTTACATTTTTGATGGTTGCCCTAGAGTTTGAACTGTACATTTATAAAATATTCAAGTCCAGTTAATAACACTATACCACTTCACAGGTAGTGCAAGTGCCTTATAATAATGAAATACTCCTATTCTTCCCGCCTGTCCTTTATCTCACTTATATATAAGCACACATAACTGAATGCATTGTTGATATTATTATTTTGAATAAACTGTTATCTATTAGAGCAACTGAGAAAAGGAAAAATTAAACGTTTTACCTTCACTTATTCATCCTCTGATGGTAGATGTGGATCCAAGTTTATGATCTACATTATTTTCCTTCTCTCTGAAGAACTTCTTTGTAACATTTCTTGCAAGGCAGGTCAATTTTTGTTTGTCTGAAAAAGTCTCCTTCACTTTTTTGTTTCTTTTTGCGGTACGCGGGCCTCTCACTGCTGTGGCCTCTCCCGTCGCAGAGCACAGGCTCCGGATGCGCAGGCCCACTGGCCATGGCCCACGGGCCCAGCCGCTCCGCGGTATGTGGGAACTTCCCGGACTGGGGCACGAACCCGCGCCCCCCGCATCGGCAGGCGGACTCCCAACCACTGCGCCACCAGGGAAGCCCTCCTTCACTTTTGAAAGATACTTTCCTAGAGCATGGAATTCTAACTTTGTGGTTTTTTTCTCTCAGTACTGTATTTCACTGCACTCTCTTCTTGCATTCCTGGCTTCTGAGAAGTATGTAATTCTTAGCTTTGTTACTTCATGGGTAAGATGTTTTTTCCCTGTGTTTTTTTTCAAGGTTTTTTCTGTATGTTGGATTTTCTGAAGTTTGAATATGGTATGCTTAGGTGGTTTTTTTTTGGTGGCGTTTATCCTGCCTGGTGTTCTCTGAGCTTCCTGGGT